TAATCTAGGTAAACAGCATAAATAGTAAAAATAGATACACATACATATCAACACATATGGAGATATGCATGTTTATTGTTATATAAGTGTAGTCTGTGTGCACTGCGCTGTTTCGTTTTCATCTAGTTTTGCAAAGGAAGCGTAATGCCTCTGTGCATGCAAATACATCTGCAGCTATCGGCATGCACACACAATATATATGTCTATATATAGGTGTGTGTGTGTCTGTGTACTTCATACAGAAATATGTACAAGTGCGTGTAAATTGTGTGAATGTAAATATGAGATAGGCCATACGTCCCAAAAGTCCCAAAGGAGCATCTGATGTTGATGTGTAGTCAGGATGTTAAGGACCCTCCTAATTAATAACCCAGATTAAAACCTCTTGGCAATCAATTAAGATTAATGACAGAAGTCATTCTCTATCCCCCTACACCCACATCGCGGGCTGTGAAAACCCTGGGTCGTGCAACTTTAATCCTGTTATCTGCTGCCTTCTCTATCTGAAAAGCCTTCAGATTAACACGGCAGACATTATCGAATTTACAACCAGCCGCTCGGACAGCTGCCCTACTTTTGGCAGTTAATGGAAAAGGAACTAATCTAGTTAAGAGCATAGGACTAGTTCATAAATCTGGACACACAAGACAGTTAAAGCTGTCACATCTCTTCTTGAGAGCAGCAGCTGAATTAACCTGTAGGCTTTCTTGCTTTTCCTTGAAGGTAGTCAGTATTTCTGTGAACTGGACTAATGAGAGATTCCACATTAACGTAAACTACATTGGACTCCACTGTACATAAACACTATGCCCAAGCTGGGAGTTGTGTTTTATGGCTGAGCTTGGTTAGATACACACTGCCCTCTCTCCAAAGCTTGGAAGCCAGGTAGTGATTAAATATAATTGCTTCTGCTTCAGTCCATAAAAGGTTGCTCTGAGAAATTAAGAAAACAAATGTGCTTTTTTCTCTTTTGATTCCTGCTCAATGAAATGAACAGTTATTGACAAAAACTGACTGCCAAATAAAACATTTGCTTCTTCATATAGCATGGGTGAAGAAAACTGTAATGCTCTTCAGGATGGCAGAGGCAGTATTTGACAGCTGTAAGAAATTCACATTCCACCCAGAAAAGTTTGACTTTTTCTTTCTTAATTGGCATGATCCCATGTAGCCAGCACAGCTCGAATAACCATCATGCACACGTGTGCATTTTAAGGGGCCTAAAACCCTCAGCAAACAGCTAGCTGCTTGTAAACTAATGAGGACTGCAAGAATTCCTCTGTCTGCAGCAGCTCAGGTTTCTAAAATGCTTTTTTAAAGCATGTCCTAGATACACAAAGGTATATCCCCTGCTCTGGGATGATTGCGCTTCTGTCACGACCTTTTACCCAACCATGTAGTGTGCTGTTGTCTAACAACCAGCTCTGGTGCAATCTGAGATGATGAACTATTTATCGCACCATTACAGCATTTTGTGGAATTGAAAGTTACAGTACTCCTGGTTACTGCAATTATCCACTTCTTTTTCCAGAATACTGAGCTTTCCTTTGGACAGTGCAAGGTTGAGTGTGCTTACTGCCACAGACTTCTAACAATGGTTATAGTACTCCACGATTGACAGTCTGAGCTAATGATTTGGTATTCTCTGTCTTAACTTCAGGCGCTAATCTGTGCATCAAAAAAAATAGCTAAAAGAACAGGGCCCAAGCATGCTGTACAAGCAATGCTGTAAATCCATTTTCTTTCTCCTGCAGGAACAAACTCGGTGAAAGTTAGAAGCGTTTCAGTGCAGAAGCAACGGCAGACACTCCTGTGCGAGCCACAGGGAGAGCACGTGCATTCAGCCCTGTGTCCCGGCTGAAGCACAGCACTGTGATGTGAAGGTTATCCTAACCTCACATCAAACCACAACACCCTTGGACAGCTAAGTGCTTCATGAAACAACCTGAAAAGCGCCGTGCTTTATTCTTCTTTACCCATTTAATGAAAAAGGGAAGAAATTGTAAATTAGAGTATGAATGCATTGTGATGCATCATTTATAAATTATCTTGTTAGTGCAGAAAACAAAACATTTCTTTGAAAACAAAACAGTCTACTGATGCGGACTCCACTATGTTTGATGGGAGCCCTTCAAAAGAGTTTATGACTTAATGGAGGCTGTTTATGTGGGGACTTCGATCTGTACCTGCTGTCCCCTGTCACTCCCTGGAAACTTGGTGGCAGATGTTGCAGCGTTAAGTTGTCTCTGAAGTGGCTCTCTGTCCCCATCTCCCCACCACAACAGAGTCAAACTATATTAGATCTCTTTATTTGTGCCTGAGGCATGTTTGGGAGCGCAGCTGTGGCCACCCCCACTCTACCTTTAGTGTTTCAGCCCCCAGGCGGCAAATGTGAGACCAAAACTGTTCTGCCACTCTCAACTACATCTGCTGACAATCCAGCAGCCTCGCTGCAGGCTGCTGAGGACCTGTGCCTCTGCTCTGAACAGATGTCGGCGACAACCTGCTAGCTCACACCTGTACAAGCTTCCCTAATCTCACGGATTGCCAGCTGAAAAATTTATGACTCGGAGGAGTTCCGTCCACAATCAAAGCTTCCTGACTGCACTGCGGGCAGCCCTCAAACTGGGCCACCCTCAGCATTAGCTGGCAACATGGAAAAGGTGGGAGAGAGGAGGAAGTAGTAGTGCTCTCTGCTTTGATACTTCATGCCTACATTTCAATTACTTGATCAAGGACTTGAATTCAGTGGTGAATTCTTGTACAAACTGGAGCCACCAAGTTCCTAAGCAATAAAAACAAACAACAACTGTGACTACCGCTTACCCTGACGGTGCTTCCGGTGTGTGTGCATGCATGGCTCACCATGCACACGTTACTGCTTGTCTGTTTACTGGCTTAAGCCTGCAGGGGATAGAGCAAGGGATCTGTAGCTAGCAAGTTATGAGTAAGATTTTCCTTTGAAGACATAAAACTCAGCCAGACAGAAAGTACATTTTCAGTGAGCTATAGGTCACATGATTATTCTTCTGTGCAAATTCTACTTTTTTTTTTTTTCTGTGAGGGTTACTGACATACTTATCTCCTCTGTTTATCATAACCTAGATGCTGGTCAGTGTCTTCCTAGGAAATCCAGACTGATCCAGACTTCTCAGTGGTTCAAAAAAGCCTTCTCTACCCAGCATTTTTTATAGAAACTACCTGACTTAATAGTCACAATTCCTCAAAAAAGAACTTGACCAACGATCTTTAGCCTGTTCAGTTATTATTTCATCTACATTTCTGTTATACACTCAATTTACTTGTTAGACTGTGCTGTACTATTTTGCATGTAGATTTACTGTACGTAATTCTGCTATGTGTAATATGTTTCATCCATGCAAGCAGTAAATAACTTAACTTGCAAACACAACAACTAGAAGGTCAGTATTGCAGAACTATACACAGAGCATGGCTCCCTATTTCTGGCACTGCACTTTATCATTCTGTTCCTTCCAACACTTGCTCTGTCTTGTCCTAAATAAATCTCAGCCTTTCTTCCTTTACAACAGTACTAAAGTTTATCCTATTCACCGAAAAAATAATCTAAATACTAGTTGCCTCTCATCCTCTCAAAGGTGCTCTAATTCTCGTACATCATTTTTATGGTGTATGTTACAAAAATAGTGTTCTGGCACGCTGTTTCTGTAGCATTAATCCAATTTCTTTGAGCTCTTCTCCTGGCTTTCTGTTTTCTTTGATAACGCATTCTTCACTTTCATTGCTCTGCAGTCCAGAGCAGATGCTGAGCAGGTAGAAAATTCACAGTCCAGTGACAAGCTCTCTATATTATGCAGGAGAGCAAGGGACACTTTTTTGAGTTGGGTACCAAAGGGGGACAAAGATGAACATTAGAATGATCTGAAGCTCATCTTACAGATGCCATGCAGGGAGCGAGGCGGCACAGTACCAGTGGCAAGAGAGAAAGTGATCTAAGGAGAGCATCCCTATTAAACTGGGAAGAACAATTCTGGTTCTTCAGATAAGCCTCATACATCTCCCTGTGAGCTAATGCTCAGCTGCTGGGCTAGATCCTCAGCAAATGTAAACTGACATAGCCTGGCTTTTCAGCAGGGTTCTGTTGCCTTACAGTGTCTGAGAACCTGGTCTGTCATGCCCGTCTGGGGCCAGTTTACTGAGAAAAAGCTGATGTCTCAGAGGAAATAGTTTGCTCCTAAGTCTCTTCAATGTGTCATAAACAGGAAGCTGAATGATTCTAGTAGATTTGAAATAGCTTAATGGTAAATAAGTTTCCAAAGTAAATGCAGTGATGTAGAGTAAAGCTTTCTTAAGGTGTAATAGCCAGAAGTAAATGATCTAGCATTATTGTAGAAAGGTCCAAATAATAACTATTCCTGCTACTCCCAACTACAGCAGTCTTTGTTGTTGAGGCCACTTTTTCATGGGTCATTACCCTGCAGAAGAAAGGGCCGCAACACAAGCTCCTTCCCGTCTTCCTCTGAATGCTGCATTTGGCATGCTTTTTTTTTTTAAACCTTTTTGCTGCTTTTTTACTCTAGGAATATTGACCAACAGGAAGCAACGTGCTTGGAAGTTATCAATGGTTACTTAAAATTGATATATTTTTAGTGCTGTGATTGCCACACTCTACTCTTATGAACAGCTCGATTTAAGAAAGATGAGCAATTTTGTTACAGAGGGGTAAAACCATGAAATCTGCATCATGTTCTTGTCTTCCAACTGCAAACACACACAGAATACTTACAAAATTCTTCATTGTACTTTCAGGAGAGCAGTGTTTCTGCAGCGTTTCTTGCCTGGTATGATACCCCTTTCAAAGCACTTTTTTCCCCAAACATTATTTTTCTTGTACCATTCTTTTGACTGCATGGCTTTCTTTAGCTAAGCTCTTGGAATTATCAGTGCTTATCTGTCTCTAAAGCCTTGCTCTAACGTGCCCCCCTTTGCCCACCCTAGCTGCCACGCTCCCACACACCAACCTCATCTCCTTGCTGTGGTCGCATCAAAGAGACTCGGTCGTACTGTCGTCGTAACAGCGCCCACAGTGCATCAAGTCGACCCTGGGACAACAGAGTAACAGGACTTTCAGTATGATAAAATCAATCAGTCGACAGTCCAACACATACTAAATTACCATTCAAGGAGATTCATGGCGAAATATACTGGTATTTACTTTGGGATGAATTGACACATGTCCATCTAGGATTTATCCACAGAAAGGTAAGTGCTTTTACAGGCTGTACAAAGCAAATCTGTCATTTGCAAGAAGCCTTGGACCTTCTCAGCACATAGCATGTAACTATGTGCTGTACAGTAAGTCCAGCCTCTACTGAACGCATCAGATTTACTGGGAGTGCTCAGACTGCCTGTGCAGAACATGTGCAGCAGCCTTGATACTTGTCAAGAGTATCCCACTCAGTAATTTAGGTCACTTTCATGTTAAGAATGGACATATAGGGATTTATGAAGACAGAATGGCCTTATCCCAACTCTTAACTAAACCTGTCTATTCTCTGCCTCTGTATATTTAAAGAAAAGTGTTTATGGTCCCGTCTTCAGTTTCTGAGACAAGCTTGTTACATTATGCCTGCTATGGGTTATGTTTGTTAGGGGTTTGAAAGTGTCATAGCATCCTCAGGGAAAATGTCTTTATTTTATACTGTTTGTTTTGTCTCACTTATTTCAATCAGAATTTTGCATTCTGTTGGTTTATATTATGTTTTTTGTTTCTTGACTGGTAATGTAGTCACAGGTTGAAAACTTAGTAAATTGCTACAAACTCTGTACAGAAACCTTTATCCTTAATTAAATATACATTGAGATAGATCAAATAGCTATAAATACAAATATAAATATATTTTGATTCTATTACTGAAAGACACATCCTGTTCTGTGGAGAGATAACAGATTGTGGTATCTCATGCTGAAGTACAGCACTTAGGGCTAAAATGTGCTCCAGCTGTTTGGTCTGAGATGCATTTTCCTTCCAGAACTACTTGAATAGGAATACTTGAGAAACGAGATACAGTTCATCAGACATAAGACTAGCACGGTGGACAAAATTCTGCATTTTCTACAGCCACATTGTGCCAAAGACTAGATTACCTTAATTGGTGTGTACCACTTCTCCTGAATGATTGGTGAGGTAGGCTTTGGTTTAGGTGGTTTAGGATGAAAAGGCTCTTCTGCTTCTTCTGGGAGCTTCACCACAGCATTTTTTGCTTTTTCTAATCTAGCCCCTTCTTCTGTAGATCCTTTATCACCCCAGCGAACCTGAGAAAAGACAGAGTACAGCATAATTACATTGCATGTAAAGGATAATGGTAGATAAGAGAAGTAGCTGAAAAGAAGTTTTAAATTTGGAAGAAATTCTGAATAAACAAGAGAGAAACATTGAGGAACATGTTTATTCTTCCCATTTTACTGTAAGCATTCTTAAACATCTTGCATTTCTAAATATGAGTGGCTGTCAGCAGCAAAAAGTCAGAGAAATACTGAAAAATTCCAATATGTATCACATGGAATGTATAAAGAAATCCCCCAAAAACCTTCCCTCATTAGTGACGTAAAACTATCATTTGTAGTTCTGATTTATCCTGAAATACAAGATCTTAATCGGGAACTCATGAAAGCTTAGGCCTTAGCCAATGTAGATTTCTGAACACTGCATGTTTTTCAAGATGCCCAATTTAGGTAGCAGTACTTCAGGAAGATTTAACAGAAACTCCTTGAAGCTGTTCAAAGGTATCAAAGTAGTTCTGCAAGAAGATACATATTGGAGAAAAGGCAGATGAAGTGCTAAGCTGCATAAGTAAAAATCTAACATGTAAAATGTGCATTTTATCACTGCCACAAAAGATATAGAACACATACAAATAGTTCAAAGGGAAAAGAAACCTGGATTACTGCTGTTAGTGAGGCAAGCATATATTTCTACTTCCAGAAAAAGTTGTACTGACTATGCTGTAAGGAGAAATACAGAAAAAAAAAAAAAACTTCCATCCAAGACAGATTGTTTGTCTTAATACAGTAATCCTATTTCTTCTTGGGATTGAAACATTGTGCAGCAATTTGAACTGGTATGCCTGCTGTATTCTACAAACAAATGAACAAGACTGGTTTTTTTCACTCATCTAGAAAGAGCATCTAAAAGCTATGTGTGGAGTTGGAAAGTTCTTAGTTTCAGTGCAAGATTTTCTTAATCATGCCATCTGCTAAAATCTAGCCTGTAAAGAAGACCCGATATACCTAAAGGCAGGAAATGAAATTCTGACATTGCATGTGTCATGCTCATGAGTCATGAAAGTGTTATTAGAAAATTATTCACTGCTCTCATGGTGCCAGCCTGCCACTGCAGGATGCCACCAACATGTTAGTTTTCTTTCAGGGACCTCCAGACTGGAAATACAAGGCATAAAAAGAAAAGAACCTAAATAAGAGAAGATTAACTGATCTTCCACCTTGCGGAAGGAATGGAGAGCACCTCTGCATAGTGCTTGATTACAAATTGATAGCTACATGCCAGTTCTGTCTTGCCAACTGTTCAAACAGCAGAAAAGTAGACAGAAATACAGTAGGATGCAACACCCGTCCCACTGCAGAGAGGCACAAAGTCATTTAGCTGCCCAAGAAAAAGACACACTTCTGGTCTTCCCTCTGCTTCCTGGAGGGAGAAGACTGCTCTGGGTCCTACTAGGAATGCTCCATAATGTGCTGGGATAACTATGCCGTAGGATGGCAGAAAAAAAGCAACCTGCTTTCTTCATCCTCTTCATCTTCACACACAGAATGTGCTGCTATGGTGGGTGAGGAAAATATATAACCCTGACACCCCGCACAGACAAATAAAATGCCTTGGAGGAAAATCATATCATTTTATCACCATCAACAAGTGTCTTTCACCAGTGCAACTTCAGCACCGAGAATGAGAACACTAAAGTACAGCAGAGCTTTATTTGGCCTGTAATCCTATTCCTCACCTTGATAAAATGCAGGCCATCCTTGCTTAGGAAGGGAATTGTTTTCAACCTTTCAGTTATTTTGAATCATACTGTTTGGCTTGCTTAATTGTATCTTTTTCTCCCCAGGGATTCCTCTTTCTGAAATATTAGAATGGGCTTTCATGTCCAAGTAGACCCTGCTGAGTCATTAAAATGCATCTGTATCTTTCACTGTGATCAATGGTACTTTTACAGTGTTTTTTATGCAGTTGTTAAAATGTATTTTAAACACTGTTAAAATCATGTAAAGATAGATAAAAGATAGAAAAAAAAAAAGACCTTCTCTTTCAGATTGAAATGGCTCCACCCACAAGAAACTGCAATCTGGGGAGCCTGACAACACAACTTCGGTATTCAAATTTAAGAGTCCATAATGGGTGGAGTCTACTAATGGCATCCTAAACCTTTAAAGCTATACCTTGGAGGACTGAGCAGCACTAGTTAAATTATTCTGGCCTGTCATGGTGGTGAGGGGTGGGGAATGGGAGTGAAACTAGTGGGAAAGGCAGAAGTGAATGAAGTTGCCCCAAAAAAGAATATAGCATGTGAACTGAAGCAGGACAGGAACGATAAGAATAAGTTTGCTAGCTCCTTCTCTCCTTTCCTCTGTCTTAGGAAACTGCCAGAAGAATCAAGCTGCCAGAAGAATGACAGAGCACAGAGCCACAATAAAAAGCAGCCAAGTGAGTGAATGACCACATGAATTGAAAACAACAAAGAAACATAAAAGACCAGACCAATGATTGTTCTTTGCTACATATTTATCATCAAGTAAGTAATAACCTCTCTTTGACCTGTTAACCTTCATCATTGTTTAAGAAAGTTCTTGTTTTCTCTGTGTTTTCAACACTTTCTCTGCCCTGATTCACAAAAAGAGCAACATACTCTCTTGAGGCAGTTAAAGACACAGGGCTTGATATTGCTTAATCCAGAAGAGCAGAAAATGCACAATTAAGCCAGTAGTTTGCTCAGCTACACTGTTACAAATACTACCGGACATAGGTGGAGCTTCATATTTAGGGAAATAAAAAGGAGAGCCCAGCTCTGAGAACGGCTGAACACGCTCAAGAGAAGGCAAGAGATCCGGCTCCGCAGAACAAGATGCCCTTCAGGAGTCCAGCTCTGATGTTTGTGTCATCAACAATTTTAAATGGTTTACATCTTTAGCCGTCCAAATTCTAACAATAGATAAAAATGTTTTCTAAAACCAAATATATTCTTCTTCTCTTCCTTAAAGAGGAAATTGTATTTTCACCATGTGATAAACATGCATTTTTTTCCTGGGTACTGATAATATTTGTGGTCAGTGGATATCAGTTTTCCACAGGATGGGGACCCATTTCCAAACTGATAATTATTTAAGCTCTGGAATCTCTTCTAGAGGCTCCTGAGACATGGCTCCTGTTAAGAATCCAGGCTTATAATTCTTCATGTTGGAAAGCATTTTCTAGTTTGTATCTGAAAAGCACTGCACAAAATGGTTTCTTTTTTAAAAGCTGGGCTCTTCTAAATTAGCAATTCTGAACTGTTGAAGGTAACACATATAAACAAGACAGCCTTAAATTGAACACACATTCTTCTCCATTTGAAAAGTGCTCAGACAAAGGTGGTTCTTAGGGCCATATATTTACTTAAAGTTTGATCAAGATTGTCAATAAAGGCTTAGATGGATATTTCAGAGAAAATTTCCCAGATTAAAGTTAAAACATGCAGAAAACTGCTTTGCAAATCCCGTAAAGGCTGACTTGACTATAAAATCTGACATAAGGACATGCCCATAAGGATGCACATTTTTCATTCTGTTTTAATTAACATGATGCTATCATGTCTCTTCAAAGACAGGCACTGTTGTCGCTGTGAGTTCCTTTGGGATCAAGCCTCTCCTTAGCATCACCATTGTCAGCGCATTTGGCTGGCCCACAGTTGGAGGACTTATGTTTCACTGTAATTTCTTCCAAAACATTCAGAAAAGGCTCTCACTCTCTCTTTCTCATTAGCTTGATGGAAAGAGCATGCCTTCATGCATCTATTTAAAGTTCCAGTCAAATGGAACTACTGAAAGCTGTTCTTTCATAACCAAGGTCAGATTCATTCGATATGGCAAAAATTTTACAAGGCTTATGTCACTGGGAAAGAAGCAAACATTATACCATTGTATTTCCAAGACACTTTAAAAGTCTTTGTTTCTACCATCTGCAGCCTCAGAAATCTTGTGCTTTAGTGATTTGGCATTTCCACTGAGTACAAACCTCCATTCTTTTAATTCCTCCAACTCCTCGTCCACCATAATAGGAAGCATCCACTGTGGGCCATTTCTTGGTTGGTAAGGGATCTTCTTCTTCTTCCTGTCCATAAATACAGATATGTTTACTTTTAAAAGAGATACTTCTTATTTTTTTTTCTCAAGTGTCTATCTATCTAATATATGGTTTCATTAGATTTCAAAGAAAAAAGGTTTTCCCATCTTAGGTGCAAAGGACCAGATTTTTAGGTTCCCCCAGTGATAATCAGTCTCCAAACAGTATTTAATCATGTCTACTTATGTTCCCATTTTTGAGCATGAGGAAACATTTGTGGCAAACACTGTGAAAGTCCAAATGAGGGCTCCAACTACGCATTGTAGTGATCATAATTTGTCTTCTGCTCTTTCTTTCCACTAATAAAAACAACCAAAACTCACAGAAGAAAAGGCATTTTCAGAAGCTTTCGACACAGAAAACATATTGCCTTCAAAGAGCCACATTATCAGCCCTAGTCATTCGGATTCAGCAGACAGTGCTCAGCAGATTGGCAGATGAAGGTTACACAGCCAAGCACTGTTTCCTAAGCCAACCTTTGTCAAACTTGCTCTGCTCAGTAAAGTACCGTAGCATGGACCTAACTTCCAGAATAAGCTTGAATGTTTCAAGTGGCCAGCTAAATCAAGATTAGAAGGAAAAATACTGGAAAACATCCTTTTGTACATGATTGCCCATAAAAGGTGGAGAAATTCCCCTGTGAAGATTCTTCAATGTTTGGAATGCTAAAGCTGCAGGAAAATGCTATATCAAGTCATTTGGTGAATTTTTAGACTATCATAAAACTACCCCATCTCTCTGCTTTTACTGCACACTGGGAAACTTAATGTTAAAGTGCTCTGGGACAAAGTCCCAAAATATTTCTCTGGATCTGGGCTTGACTCATGCTGCACTGAGATGACTGGAAGAGGGCAGAGATTTGAACTTTGCCTATCCAAATGTCTCATCTTAAGACTTCCCACTGGTTTGTTCTTCCCTCTTTTAGCAGCTAGGACTAAGAGACAGATGTGCAGAGCACAGGAAAGCACAGGGGAATGGTATCATGTAATCCATGTGGTCCATGGAGCCCCACCATACTATACCTCTTTCGGAGCTGGTGGAGGTGGAGGCGGATCTTTGATGACCTATAAAAGACAAACATACAAAAACATAAGTAGCTGCAATGACAGCATGAAAAAGCTGACAGAAAATTTCAAGTGAACTGTTTCTGAATCCTCCACATCTCTTTGCAAACTGGCAGCCACTGCTGCCAAGTCTCTTGGGCACTGATTATCAAGGCCTTCTGGAAATTAACACCACCCTTCTGATAGCAAATAAAATCAATTGACTGGCAGACACTCTCTGGGCACATGTGTCTGCCCCTTTGCTTCCTGACCGGATAAGATTCAGTCATTCTAAGTAATTGCCAGTGATGAAATCCTATGGAATTAATTAGCAAGCCTAGGAGGAAAAGCAACCCAAGGTCCCTGTGAGGTCTTGTATCATCCTGGGCTAAGATGCCTGCTCTCTCGTGCAGGAGAATTGCTGGCCTAGTGACAAGTGAGAAATGCCTACTGGTAGCTCAGGCTTCTCCTCTAGACATTCAGATCATTTCCATAGATCTCACATTACAGATAATGATTTAAATGTGGAGCTCCTTGTCTGTTCAGTGTGGAGTGTCTGCATTAGGGAGTTACAATCACAGGACTTCTTAAAGTGTTGCTGGAGAAGGACAGCTTCTGTTAGGGTAATTTACTTAAACCTTATTCCCAACTGTAAGACTACTTGGCTACCCAACTGGAATTACGTCTTTATGTGATTGAAAGAAAAAAAAAAGAGACCAAAATAAGTTCTCTGTTGGGTAACTGAGGCCCTGCATTTGTGCTGCATGAAGCTTTAGGCTAGCTTATCTTTTTAGAAAGCTACAGAATATAAACATGACATTTAGATCATTTAAACTTCTCCCTCCAATTTCTTGTGAATTGTGAATCTTAGAGAGTTCCCTCGATACTGACAAGAAACAACGGTAAAGTGAGAAGAAGAGGAGGACCGCAATCCTCATGAAGGATGATAAGAACAGAAAGCACAGGCATTGTTCCATAAGACAAACAGGTTAGTAAAGCTAAGAAGAACAAGCAATTCAGTTGTTTTATGAAGAGTCATTTTCTGTGTGTGTTAGGTAAAAATGACAGAAAAAAGAACGCACGAATATAAAGCAGTCTAATTCTGCTATGCCTACGAGCCCAACTAAAATTGTCCCCAATGAGAGATACTTAAATTGTAAGAGTATCTTAATCGAAATATATTTTCTTCACTCTCTGCTACTAATTGCAGTACTTTCACTTGCTCTTCCACTGCATATAAATAATGTGCCATTGCGCAGATGCCTAGCATCATACATAAAAGAATAATCTTTTTCTTGACCATTACTCAAGAGTAATGATTGACATTTGATTAACATTTCGAGTCCAAGTGGCACCAAAAATAGTTACTGCTAGTATAAGCTATGTACTTTTAGCCCTGGATACAGGAATTACATCAAATAAGAGAAATAAGTAATGGCACCTTTGGAGATATTTTTTCACAGTACTATGAGTTTTATATTGTTTATTAAGCCCAGAGTACGTTCAGTGGATTGAAAAATCAATTATGGATTTTAAATAGACATCTCTTTTTTTGTGCCAGGACATTGCAAAAACTTGATAAAAATGTTTTTCCTTAAATATTTCTGAGTATTTTCTTGTGAGCCATCAAGAAGTTTCAGAATACTTAATAGAAATCAACTATTTAATTAATCTAGCATTCCTGAAAGCCAGACTGGAACTACTGCCTTAACAGAAACATAAACACAGAGCATGGAAGAGATTCTGAAAGTTATTTGAGCACTGAGCAAGATTTTAAAAGATCTTTAATTCTCACTCAAAAGAGTTAAAAGACAGGAAAAAAGTAAAAGCTACTTTCAGTGTAAGTGTCACGTTATCTTATATATTTAATTCTCATCCTTCTTTTCCGTCTGCCTATCCCTCTCTTTAGCAATGATATCACTCTGCTTTCTATAGCCCTATTATTCTTATATCCTAGAATCTCTCCTGAGCAAAGACGACTTTTGATTCTAAACTTTACGATGGGGGCTAAGGTCTGCTTGGGCCAAATGCCTATCCATTTTGACAGAACTGAAATTTCAAGCGAAGTGAATCAAGAAAAATGCCACTTGCTGACCTCCTCAGGCTTCATAAGCCAGCCCTGCAGAAGTTTTTATCTTACTGCCTTAGCGAAGGATCCAATCCCATGCCAGCTGCTGAACTCCCTGAAGTTACACAGTAAACTCGATTTGAAGTTAACTGATACATTAATTAGCTGCTATTTCTAATAGCTTCAGAAAATGAAACTTGTTTTACATATGACAGTGGTGTGAGAAAATAATCTGCTTTGAGTAGCAGATATTCACCCCTGCTGACAGAAGTGGAATGTAAATGCCTGCATCCTTATGTTTCCACAGGCTCCTCACACACTCGCGCTTGCTCTCGCTCTCTCCCTCTCACACACACAAAGAATATTCTCAGTCTTGTCTGATATTTCAAGGAAAATTAGCAGAAAGCATTTCTAAAAAAATCAAATCAAGGAACCTATGCAGCTTGGGCAGAAAACAATGCAAATGTAGCATAAAACTGCAGATATTGAAGATGCTAATATTGCAAAATTAACTTTCCCTGAACTTTATTCAACTCATTGAAATCCTGAAGTCTCTGAATAATGCTACTGTGTTATTAGCCACATGTAGAGATGGATTCCTCCCTAATTTTGTTTTGGTTTATTATCAGCATTGCCGGGCAAGGCTGCATCTCATTTATTTAGCTGCAAAGAATGAAGACTTGAGTTTGGAGGAGAGCCGATTTCTTAAAAAAAGAAAAAAAAAAGTTAGTTGCTTCAGGCAACAGTCCCTTTGATCTGCTCATTAACACTTTTCAAATGTTCGAGTGATGTGGGCATTAGGAAATGTCAGCACCAGAGCCTGAAGCCAGCTTGATGCGATCATATGTTCTGATATTGAGGGAAGAGTGAAAGAACTGTCAACAGTGAACTGCTTTAAGAGAAAAAGGAAGGAAAGGGAGAAAAAGGAGTCCCCCCACCCCAACCTGTAACTGTTTGTACACGGACTTCATGTCAAGGCTGATTCCTAGGATGAAGCAAGGGCCCAAACCAGCCAAGGCTCACGACTCGGGCAGCCTGCAGACAGTTGGAATTACATACCGGGGGCTCCAGATACTCATTCTGCTCTGCCTGTAACACCTTTTTGTCCTCTTTTCCCCTTGATTCCAACTTATGTGACATTTTTTAGGCTTGAGGACTGCCGCTTTCTTCCTTGCTCCTATTATTTGTCCCACAAAACTGAGCGCTCCCCTGTGCCAGGCAAGCAGGCTCGGTGAAAGGGAAGAGCTCCTGCCTAACGTCAACATGCTCCTCACGGCAAGGAGACCGTCACCAAGGCTCTTAGCCAGAAGTGGGGCTGACCCATATGTAAGCACAGCAGGTGCAGAAGAGAATGGGAGAAAAGAATGGGAGCACACTACAGTGATCTGAGGAAGCAGCCATCAAGGCAAAGAAGAAAGGAAAAGTAAGCATTTGGTAATAGGGTCCATGTAAAATCTGTGGGTTTGGTACTCTGTAATTTTGTATCAGTGTGCCCTGAAATGACCATTTTAAAGGAAATAAGATATCCATGAGAGGTGGCAGGAAACAACAGGGTACCGAGGTGGCAGGAAACAACAGGGTACCAACACTAGCATTCAAGGCACTTTGGTTTTATTGCTCTTATAGAAGTCAGACTACTTTTTAACAACACCTCATTGACTCACAGCTTGCGACTTCCCTTAAAATAGACATTTAGTGATATTACCAAATACTCTACCCAGAAAAGATGCTCAGGATGAATTACCATGCCTGGGAGTAACCATTAGGGAGGAACAGACCTAAGCACAAGGTGAATCAGATTCCAAGGGCATTTCGCCACTGCTGCAAAGAGCTCTTTGTGGCAACACACAAGTCAGCTCTGCACAAGAGAAGCCAGAGGCCTGCACTGATGTCACTGTGCATCTCCTGCACCCAAGGTAGCAGCGCTGCTCTGCAGTTCACTATACAGTAGATCTCTTTTACTTAATTGGGAGTTAATTTGAGGTATTCCTCCACAGCTCTGCACAATTCATTTATATATAGCTGCGATGCAAACTGAGCTCCGTTCATTTCCAGCAAGCATAGGCTGCTGTAGTTGATATTTTAATTTATTATATTGGCATAACTACCGTAAACGCTGGAAATTAGCGCTACAGAACTCTACAGTTGACTTCGTTCTTGTATGAACTCTGACATAAAAATACAGAAAGTGTCTTACTGATTGTCATTACGAAGTCATCACTGTAAACAGAATATCTGCTCTCCAAGGACTGAGATACTGCAGTCACTTTTTACTGTAATGAAAGGAAAATGCAAACTGTGTCAAGATTTCCTACACTATGGGAAATGACCAGCATGGATGTCTGGTCACTGGCTGATGTGGCAAGTATTTTGATTTTTCAGTAAGCTATAAATGTATAAACCTGACTCTGAAACAAAAAAAAACCGTTTGGCAAATGATTAAATCTGCAGGTACAACTGAATATGATGGAATCTGTAGAATTTCCAATCGTAAAAGACTGATTTGGGTCTCACATAAATTAGACATGCATGGATATACTATGACTGACAGAGATATTCAGCTAGTGATGAAAACAAACAAATAAGCAAACAAGACCAAGAGTTTTAGTGAGGCAACTTGTACTAAGTGCAATTAGGAACGAAAGAAACTTTCCTGGTAGCAGTCAAGTCAAGGGTAAGCGTGTTTGTTTTTAAAATAAAAAAGAAAAGCTTTAAAAGTCAGTAGGAGACCTAAACGCAAAATGGTTTGTTTCAGAAAAGCAGCTCTTGAGAGGGAATAATATGAGCATTCCCAAAAGACTGAACAAATAGTAAAACACGACTCATTCAAAGTCATCCATTTCTTTTAAGAATCCTATGGGTGTCTGCAAGTAGCTCAAAGGAGACCCTGAAAGAACTTACATGGATTCATTTAACATTTTAGTTATATTTCTCCTGCAGTGTGAAAATGTATAGTCAGCAGAGAAGAGCAGTTCCTCTGCTGCCCTGCTTTCCACAAGCCTGAGACAAGTGTACAACAAAAACAATGACAGTTTGGAAGCAATCTTGCCTTCTGAAGTCCTCGGCACATCATTGAATTGAATGGGTAATAAACTCTACCAGTTTAAAACCTCAAATGTGCAAGGAAATAGAGGGAGCCAAGCGAAGCAGCATTGTTTGCTGCTAGAAGGATAAAGCGTGTTCATTATTCAGATGAAATGAGATGTAATGTGTGCAAGATGAAAATTTAATTTTTTGCATGGGATTAATAAGAGAATAAGGGATTTCCAACTTGAGAGCCCATAATGGACTACAAATATCAATTTTAGTGATAGTACTTTTAAAACGGTCCTTGATTTCAGGATAACATCTGTCCACCATTATGGCCAGCAACTTTCAAATAATAGAGAAAAGTCTTTTATCAAAGATTTCACAAAAATGTAACACATCTGCTCGCTGAGTAGAAAGCCAGTGAGCAACACATCAGCCTGCTCATGCTGGTATCTCTGAAATCCAAAAGTACTGCTAGGAGCACAGTCCATAGCATGTAAACACTTCTGCTTACAGCATATCACTAATGAAAGAAAACTGCCTCAACAGATGGCTCATGTCACATATAACTCTCAGACTTAACCTATTTCCTATTGTATTACCTAACATGGTATGAGTAATGATCATAAATTACATACCAAGACTTTTTTTTTTAATATTCTTTACTCACCACTTTGCAACAGAGGGGCCAGAACCACCAGAGAAGACCAAGCGCCACCAAAAGTAACAGCACAAGAACAGCAATAAGTGCTGCAACTCCACTTGACTGCAAAGAAAACAGAAAGGCAATGTCAGTAATGTTACAAACAATTCCTATCTGTTTTTTTCCACTCACCCCGAAACAGCTCCCTGCTGACTGACACAACCAAACAAATAGCTCCCAGTTACTGGCTCATTTCTTGCCAGCATTCCTCAGAAAAGAAGTCTGCTCTGAGGGAACAAAATTAAAAAAGCAGAGTATGTCTACCCAAATATCAACCAGCCGTCTAATGGGACCAGCACTTGGTCTGTTTGTACTCACTGGGGCAGTAACAACTCTTGGGTTTTTTAGGCAGAAAATTCCAAGAAACCAACTGGTCTGTGGATCAGAAGTGCCCTTCTCTTCTCACAAGGGTGTGTAAGGGTGGGTGTACGGGGGGAATCTTTGCTAGCAATACAGATATTTTAGTCAGGCTCTTATGCTTATAGCCTATGTGGTCAAGTAATAGGACAGACTACTAATTCACAGTGCACAGACTATACCACAGAAACTGCCTTTGGAGTAGTGGCATCTGGACCTGAAGCTACCTAAGGAAGACCTGGTGACTTCCACTGCTTCTAGTACCTACTACTTTTAATGAGTAGGTGACTAGATCATTTCACACCATCTCAAACCCACACCCTGGAGATACTTTTCCTCTTAATCCTTTATAGACTGTGCTGCAGTTCTTGTTTAGAACAACACTGAGAGAAAAATGGACCCATGGCCTTTGGAAAACAGAACTTACTCAAAATTCAGCTGCAGAAAAAGGTTAAAAGCACAGGGGACATTTGGGCAATCACTAATGCTAGAGCTCAGCATGCATATTTCTCTCAAAAATTATATCAAAGTTATATTGAAGGGGAATTGGTGCAAATGGAAAGAGAAGCAGAGCTTTATTCAAAGGGTGTGTGGGTGACCATACAAACACCAGACAGTGAGGCACACACAAGGGAAAAATGAGGCACAAGCCTCAGTGCCATTTTTGTTTGTTTTCTCTGCAGTGGTGTGTGTTTGCTGGGGGAGGCTGGAACTCGTAACTCTCCTATACCAACCAGCCATCAGCTGCTCAGCCATTAGAATTAGTGAACAATTCTAGCAGTGACCCACTTCTTGCAGTTGCCCATCTGCTACTATGGAAACCACAATTTTGCTTGTATGGAGCTCTCTTTACTGCTACATGTATGAAAGACAAAAAAAAAAGAAAAAAAGATGATCACTGATCGCAAGTGCTCTGCTGTTTTCCTCTGCTGTTTTTCTTGTCAATGCACATCTGTACTCACTCTGTTTCTGTTTAGTTAAAACTTTCAACTGCAGAGAAGCAATGAAAGAATTCAGCAGAAGCAGAAGGGGAGTTTTTTGCCTTACCTCGCAATTTGGTATCATCTGCTTTGCATCAGGGCTTTATTTTTACCCATGTCTATGCTTTTAAAAATGTTTAAGGGGCACTTAACACATACAGTTACTTAGGAAGGGACTGAGATAAAGAGAATACTCCTTGTCTCCAGCATCCCCCTATGACTGTATTGGTCTGGTGTTATCACACTGAGAGGCTAATCATCATGTTTTGGTGTAAGATCAGAATGCTTACAAATTATAAAGAGGCCTTAGGCACAGCAGCATGATCAGGTACTGTGTGTTTCTTCAGCTCTAAATTCATTTATGTTTTCTTTCTCAAACTTAAGAGCTGAGCTGAGATGCATTTGCCTTCTGCAGTCACTCAAGTAACTTAGTTTTAGAAGGAATGCGATAACAAATACCAGTTTTTCTCTTTCAGGTTAATTACCTGTGAGTGATGAAAATGCTGTTGGAAAAATACATGCTGATGAGCAGAAGGCTGTGTTCTGCATGCGTATGTGCCTAACAGGAAAGCTGCGCTGAAGTCACACTTTGAAATGAGACAAATTAAAAGCTCTATCTATTTGACATGTATTTTCAAAACCTCCATTCCTGCATAGTGTTCTCCTATTTAACTGCAACACTTTTAAATATCGTGACTATGTAATAGAGAAGAGAGAAGCAATAAATGGACAGCAGAAAAATGGGATGAGAAGCTTTGTATATTGAGTTTTCAAAGGCACTAACTGTATTAGCATGGAGTTTATCCTAAGAGCTGTTCCTGTTTTTTTTCTAAAGCTATGATAAAAGGAGGATATTCACACTACTGAACCTCAGGTGTAACTTGGCTACTCTACTCAACGTAAACCTCATTAACAGGGCTGAAAACCTAGACTGCTTATTTAGGTGCCTTATTTAGGAGTCTAGAGCTGTACAGAGTTAATCTTCTCCCATGCCAGGCTGAAGACCTGAGGTTGTGCGTTCCCAGGTTCAGGAGAAGCTGATCCTGGGCAGTGGCCGCATGCTGGGATGTGTGTGTGCCTGTACCACACCTGGCTCTTCTGATATAATTCTGTTTGTAGTAAGTGGGTCTCTAACAGCATGGAAGCTTCCCAGTATTTTCAAAGCCAGAGCTGTTGTAATGTATTCAGTGAAATATAATTGAAAAGCTCTAGCAAAACCTAAGACCAGAGCATATACAGAATATGCAGCCACCGCTTGGATCACACTATAGAGCCAGCTGAGGTAGCCTGGGGGAGGAGGAGAATACTGGGGCTTTCCCTCTGCATACAATTCTACATATGGTCTAAATCAGCAGCTCCTGAAGCAGCTAGCGAAACAGATGCAGCCGCAACGAAAGGAAGAAAAACCCTTATTAAAGAGCCTATGTCAGAAAAAAAAGATAAATCTGCAAGCCTGCCATGTGAGGGATTTTTTTTTATGTATTATGTGGAAGTCCTGGATGATACACACATTGATACTTACATGGAGTTCTACAAAAAAAGGCATTCCTTAAATAAAGCTATCCAGCACCTTAATGGGAAGAATTAAGGGGACTATTTCATGCAACTTCTAAGAAAATCCTGTCTCTAATCCCTCACTTTGAAACAGCTGAAACTTCCTTGTGAGTCTACTGTTTTATTTTTAATGAAGTCTAAACATCTTTCAAAATGCCAAGGAAATTATTTAAAATATGTATTTTATATATATGTTTATGTGCACGTTTATATATTAAAAATTATGTGTCATTAGATGTATATCTGCACATAGGTGTATTTTTCAAGTTAGGTTGTTTTGTATGTCCCAAAGAGCTAATGAGGCTTGCTGTTCTTTGAGGTTCTCTACACTGCGAGGTCATGCAAGGATAAAACTCTTAAGAGAAGCTGAATTTCATTTTTTTACGTTGAATGATGTTAGCCATTTACTTACACACTCGGAAGCAGTAATTGTTAATGAGCTGGACATGAAAGACTGCCCTTCATTCAGACTCACCAAAACTTCTAGGGTTCTGGAAAGAAAGGTAAAAGCAAATGAGCAACCACAAAGCAGTGACTAGGAGCACAGATGCGCAGGAACGCGCTCGTCTGCCATTCCGCGGAGGACGTGTTCGGAGGGAGAAGAGGGGAGCCAGGGCAATGGAGCCGCGCCGGACGCGGGAGGCGCCTTCACAGGACCCATCACGATAACATGCCTGCCTTGCATCGGCATGTCTGGAAAGCTCTCATAAATACTGCTGTTGGGGTTGTCCTTCACGGCTTGCAGAAACTGATTTTTGGTCATTTCAGACCAAGCTTGCTTTCCCACAACTCATCCTGCTTCAAGTGAGCTGGAGTGATAATTTGCAGTCCCCTGCAGATATTGTGTTGATGACTATTCGGAAATAATTTTAGTCTTCTCAGCAAAGAGAACTGAGCAGAGATATCCTTTCTGTATTCCATGCAACATAAAATACTCCAAAAAGTTTTATGCAAAATAAATTGAAGATCGATTGTAAAAACAGCATTGTTATATCTGTTACATAAACATCTCTTTAGTCATATGCAGACATTATGGATAAAAATGTTGGATAATTATAAATGGTCAAGACTTTCTATAAATAGCACATAAACACTGCATACAAATAGAATGTGGTTTACATTTTACAAATTAACCCTAGAAGAAAACAACACATGGTGAATGTTAAACAGAAGAAGACTCTTCAGCTTCTCTGGCTTGGATTCCCAAGATTCAGACAGTTTATATTATGCATAAATGTAATTAAATAAAAATATAGATATCCATGAACTAAAATGATTAATCATTTATACTGTTCTTCTTATATGTCATGAATTTTTATTCTGGCACAAATGCTTTAGTCAATATGGAGTTCAAGGCTATTTTAACTAATTTGGCTAATTTCTTTTTCAGTTTTAGTAAAAATGTAGTAAGATGCTTCCACTGAACTTATTTTTAAGTGGTCTGTGTTATGATCTAAGGGAAAGAATAACTCTAATTTATTTCTAATTATTAATGGAGTAAGTGAACCAGAGCAGATAAAATAAAAAATTCATTAAATTTATTCCTAATTGAAAAAAAAAAAAAAACTGCAAAAAAACTTTCTAAAGATGAATTTTTGAAATGTGCCATTTCTTATTATTTTTTTAACTTTAATTTCTCACATTGCCAATTTAATGAGAACTCCTGCAGGATTTTTCAGCAAGACAATCGTGCTTGAGTTTGGCTCGCAAAGCAATCCTATTGACTTAAACAGGAGAAGGTATCATTCAATGCACTTTGTTGAACAGAGAAGGATTTAAGCACGAACTGTGCTCTTGAAACACATCCTAAATCCTGAAAGGTGTCCCAAAAGAAATTTAGGTGTTTAGATTGTTGAACCTTTTGGGGATTTGCACAACAGAAACATAACACAAAATGCATTTCTCTGTCCCAGGTCAGTAACATGGAGTCCAGTGAAGCTGATGTGATTGCAGTGTCACATCCTCTTGTACGCTGGGCACACTGCTGCTTGGCTACGAGTGTACAGGTTAAGTGAAAGCTGAGTGCGACCCATAAATACAAATGAATTCATAGCACGCAGAGGTATTTTTGGATGACAGTTTTTTAGCTAAGTACAAATTCAAAGAGGAAAGCTTAATCTCCAAAGTGTTTCATTTCCCCCACATTAGCCCTGTCTCTTTTAAGAATGACTGAGTTTTAGGCTATAGAGGCCATATAGTTTTAGACATTTGATGCTGCACACCATTTAGGTTATATAGTTTTAGACATTTGATGCTGCACATCAAATTTTAAAGATGGTTCCACCCAAGAAAGGGCATTCATTGTGGCTTTGTTTCCTACACATAAAAGCTCTTTAGCCCTTCTACTTTTCCAGAACCTCCCTGTGAAACAGAGGGTGTGTTCCCACTGAATGGTGCCATTACTGGGATTACATTGTTTGGCCCAAAGCCCAGTGGCACAGGAAGAACCCTCTCTGAGTATGTTAACTTGCCAGTGTGGCACACCAAGCAATTTGGATTTTTAAATTAACATACTGCATGCAGACACTGAGGATCTGCATACATGCCTTGTGCATTGAGTTTATTTCCTGTAATACTCTGTGTGTAAATACATTTTAGCATTTCCTCAGCTCTTCTTTTATTATTGTTTGAAACCCGTTCTGCAGTCTCTTGTTGGGCAGAACTCCCACTGAGATCAAAAATAACTTTGCTATGCACCAGTGAAGATCTGCTGGATTTGGCCACTAGCATCTGACTAAAGTAGCATCTGCCATCTACTGGGGTCAAATTCCCAAACTGCTTTCAGATGCTCAATTTCCTCATTGCCCTCATTTTTAAAAATGTGCATGTGAATTCCATATTTTTTAGGGAATTTCTTCTCCAGTCAATTCCCTTTGCTGCTTGGTGATATCTTCCTACTCCTGACCAATGTGTGTTCCTGTTAATCAAGAACACTTTTGAGGATCATTTCACCATGTTCTGTTAATCTCTGGCAGTTTGTTTGTAGAAGCCACTACCAGTCCCAAACATACACGGTTGAGAGCTGCAGAGCTGCACTCTAGTTCCATTCACATGCATTTTACTGGGGATTTAGGAGAAAAACTAAATGAGGAGGGATGCCTGTACGCCATTCTCTGCAGCAGCCTTGCCAAGGCCCAGGAAGGTGGGTGCTGCTGAAAAGGCTGGAGCACAGGGACACCACTCTGGAATGAGAATTGGGCCCAAAGCTGTAACTCCCACTGACTGCAGTAAGAGCAGGATTGAAGTCCCTGGTGCCACGTGCCACATCGCTGCCATCAAGCTTCACATTCCCCCAACCTTTAGCTGTCAGATGCTCTGACAAATATCCCAAGCAACAGGCTCAGTGAACACATCAGCTACCAACTCAGCTACAGCGCAGGAGGAACAACCAGTTTCTGTATCACCTTCCGTTTTGATACACAGCTGCAGGGGTGAGCCATTGCAGGGTGTTCATAGAGCTGATCATACTCATGCAGTTCTAGAAGCTACAGAGTGAACTCATACAGATAATTATCTCATCTTCAAAAGGATGAGCCTGTCAACATAGAAAACCATTTCCTTCCTGAAATTGTCATGCCTGCAGGGTGTAAGAAATACACTTTTCTCATCTCTTCATAACCTACCTGTTCAGTGGCTTATGTGTACTTCAGGTTTCTATAGACAATCCCCCTTAAATTTGGAGTACAAAAACACTACTGACAAAAAGGTACATACAAAAACTGTGCAGAATCATACTATACTGTGCTCTAGTTCCTCTATTCACTCAACCAGAAACTTCCAAGAAAAAGACATATACATAAACTTCCAAGAAAAAGACATATACATAAATATATCCACTATTTACCTGTAACAGTTCATATGTGCAAGACTTTTAACTCAGTATTCTGCATAATCTGTACAATATTTCCAAAATAAAATGACATTCAAAAGTGGTTTCAGCTTTTGGGCACCTTCATTTTCAAATGGTGATTTTCACCGTCAATGCTCTGTAGTTTGTGAGCATCCTAGTGCTTCAGTAAGGTCTCCTGAAATCTCAAGCCAAGACCTGAACTGGCCTCTGACACCAGCTCTAAATCTTTAAACCTCTCCTGAGATTTCTTTCTGTGGACTGGAGGAATACAGTTGAAAGTTGATATAAGGCTGAAGTCATTTTTCCTAACTTGGACACAGGAAAGGTGCAGCGCAGATTTTTTTGGTCAATGGTTAGCAGACCACAGTAGTCTGAGGTAGTCTCACTGGTGGAAGCGATTAGAAATGCTTTAAAAAATGCCTCCGCAGGCATTAAATGCTTGGGTGTCACTACAACCAGGTATTCAGAATTTGGATGCACTGATTATCCTTTGTGATTTACGCAATTATATCCATAATATATCAATTGCTTTCCAAACACACAAGAAAACCTCTCCTGCTAAAACAAGTATGGAGAGACATGAGGTGAGAGGGTGCCAGTGTCCTGTCCCAGCAGGTTAGAAATACGGCGCTGCTTTGTGCGAGTCCCACGTTTCAATCACCATCCCATTTGATTCAGTGCAGCCACACAGGCACACACACAAAAGCACATTTTCCTTGAACTAAAGCAGGCCTATTATTTGCAAATAATAATTTTGTCCCAGCATGGAATGAAAAACAATACTGAAGAGTTAAAAAGTTGCAGCAAAAGGAAGTATGTCCTCAGGTCAGCCCGGATGAAAAGCCGCAGAGAATGAGGAAGTGCAAATGTTGATGTTGCTGTGGCAACCCGCACAGACATTCTCCAGGCCCCCACTAGAAGCTCCTCTCTGCTGCACGACGCAGTCTGCTTGGCTTATGGGGTGGATGTTATGTGTGCACATGCAGAAGAAAAGCAGAGCTCCGGGCTAATAATCAGAGGTTCTGATAACAGGCGCTCCCACTCTGAGCACAGGTATCAAAGCCTGCTTGTAGCTACACCCGGGACCCAAGGAATCAGGCAGCTTCTCCATACCTAGCCTGGAGAGCGAGGCTGCAGGAATGAGCCTCCCCTCTGGGGAAGAGCAAGCCCAGCCCTTCACCTTGCTCCTCCGAAAGGCAGCCAGGAGCAAGCCCAGCCTCTGATGGCAAGCTTCAGCTAACAAGCGTGAGTTACTGACAGCTTGTGCAGACGCTCACAAACCCAGTTCCTGTCTTTTATGCAGCACAGGCCTAATCTGCAACTTTCCAGTGGCCTATAGTTTAAACACGTTTTTGTAACAGGAAAAGCAGCCCTTGCTCGACGTGGAAAGGTTTTTCCTATATTTCTTGTCCATAAAGAACTGGGGTAGCAATCAATCCTGGAAAATTTGAGTTTAAAAAGGTTTTTTAACAAATGTTCTTATGTATGACTAAAGGAAAACACAAGATTCTTGCAACTTTAAACTGCATCATGCTCAGACCACTGGCCAGGCTAATAAATAATTTACGAAAAACATGCAACTTGAATAGGCCTAACAGTTATGATTCTTTCTTTCCTTTATGTCCAGTGCCACTTTATTGC